AAAAAAAAAAAAAAGAAAAGAAAACAAACAAACAAACAAAAAACCCCAGCCAGGCCTTTTGTTCTCCTCCCTATCTCAGCTCTGGTGTCTGTCTGACCTTTCTGAGGTCTCTCATGGCAAACCTGAGTCACGTAGAGGCTCCTCTGAAGCAGGGGGAGGTTGTGAAGAGAAAAGGGAGGGAGATAAAGGATAAAGTTACAGACCTAGGAGGGGGTTTCAGGTATTTTTAAAAATAATTGTAATCACTACTGTAAAATGAAACATGTCTGGAACTGCCAAGTCTGAGAGGAGGTTTCAAGAGCTGCAAGACCCAGCTCATTTTTTCCAGTGTGGCTCTCAAATATTGTCTGTTCTTGCCTCAAATCCTTCTCCAAAACTGAATGGCTGCTGTCTGTTCTTGCCCCAGTCCCTCTCCAAAGCTGAAGGCAGCACTGCAATACTGGGAAGGGGAAAAAAAACCCCAAACCTTAATTTTAAACAAATATTTTTGATAAAACTCCAGGCAGAGAGAAAAAAATACTGTGGGTAGAAAGAAAAGAGGACTTCGGGTTTTGTTTGGTTTTCCTCCTGGATTTTTGGTAGCAATCCCTAAACAATGGAAGGGGCTGTAACTCGTGGGTAGTGCAGCTGAAAGGAAGTGGAATTATCCACGGGAAAAAATGGCATTATTCTCAGAAATACAGTTATCAGTCATTTTTACAGATGGTTCTTAAAACCATCAGGAGGCCAAGTTTTAGTGGCAACATTCAGGCACAAAGCAGCCCAGCCCATCGTTACCAGCTCAGACTGGGGTGAAAAAAGCTCAAGTGTCTCTCAAGTGTCTGAAAAAAAGGGGAAATCTGAAAGGTTGAAAAACAGGAACTCACTTGGCGACAAGGCCTGCACCTCTGAGAAGGGAAAGTTTCATTTCTGGCAGTGGGAAGAAGAGCGTGGGCAGAGGCAGCACCAAATCATTCACCTCTCTCTGCCCGTGTGCAGCCACTTCCTGGCATTTTTAGGGAGGACTGGACCAAAAAAATCCAAGCAAGCTTTTCACAGAAGAGTGACAATGGCAATTAAAAATAAAAATTGCTGCTCCTCCACTTCCAGGGAAATATCTGTGTTGTTTTAGTTAAACTGGCAACCCACCGGCACCCAAATCCTCAGCAAATCCAATCCCAGATCCCAGACTGCTTCGGCTTGGAAGGGAGCAGAAAGACAACCTCATTCCAACCTCCTTCCAACAGGGCTCCCTGTAAATGCCTTCAATCCCATCAAATAGTAAGTTTTTTGATGGGATTGCACAGCACAGGGATGGGATCCAGCTCTAGGGCAGGGATTGTCTGTCCAGAGGAGCAAAGGCAGCTCGTCCTCAGCTCCCCCAGCAGGGCCAGCATCTGTTCTTTTCTCCAGGCAGAAAGGTTTTTGGGGAATCTCTGGCTGGGGGAGGCTGCAGGAAGGCACAAGAACACTCTGTGCTGGGGCACCTTCGTGTGTAGCTGAGGCAGGAAACGGAGGGGGATTCCTGGAAGCAGCTGATGAGCCCACAGGACGGGAGGGGGGGGACAGCAGCGCCTCTGCTACACCAGCAGCTCTGTGGTGTGTTCCTGTGGGTTGCCCTTCTCATAACCCACAGCCCCACGCGGCTCAGGAGTTATCAGCACCTTACTCACTTCCAGGGAAACGTGGTCCCTGCCCCGTGGGCCCCACGAGCTGCTGCCCACGGGCTGATGCTCATCTTCGGAGAACCCGCGGGGGGTGTTCCCTGGAATCCCTTCCTCGTGGTCACCCACGGCCACCCCTGCCACCCCACCCCCTGCAGGGCCATGGGGCACGTTCAGAGACCTCTCCAGGGCTCTTGTGGAGGGGCTGAGCCATCCCCCACCATGACCCCTGTGGTCAGAGCTGGTGCCAGGCCAGGCTTGCAGGGCAAACGCTGCAGAGGAAGCCAAGGACGATGCAAGGAGAGAACTCGAAGCTGTGGCTGATCACTTGGTGATCACAAATCACCCAGGGACACCCCAACAATCCCACCCTGTCCCTCAGAGCCTTGTCCAAACCCTCCTGGAGCTCTGACAGCCTCAGGGTCGTGACCAAACCCTGGGGAGCCTGTTCAGTGCCCAACCACCCTCTGGGGGAAGAACCTTGTGCTGAGATCCACCCTAAACCTCCCCCAACACAACTTCAGGGCACTCCTGGGGTCCTGTCCCTGCTCACACCCTCCCCCCTCAGTCCCCTCTGCTCCACTTTAATCCTGCTTCCCACAGGAATTCTTTGCTCCCAATCCCACACACCACACGCCCTGCAGAGCTGCGACCACGCCTTTATTTCCCACAGGTGCCCCTCTTTGTATACAATACAAAAGTTTCTATACACTGTATATGCACTTGCACACAGGAAACCCCTTGCTGAAGTCCACCATATGTATAACATATAAGGAAATTTATGTCTAAATACCCCTGGTATTCTTTTGAATACATTTTCTGCTGCCTCTCCTGGCATCTGCTCGGGTGCTGCGGATCCCAAGTCCCATTTCTGAGGGATTGTCTACGGAGGAGACGCACCTGAAGTGCAAACCCCTTCTGAACTGTGGCACTCTCAGCTCTGCTGCCTCTTGAACCTTCCCACTGAGGCCTCTCAGACACATCCAGAGCTGCTCCCACCAACACTCCAAGTTCCTCCCAGATTTTTTTTTTTGATTTTTGAACTTGCTGTTTAACTCCAGGCTGCTTAACCTGTGGGAGAACCTCAGAGAAATGAGGGTCAATTCACACCAGGTGGGGGGGTTTAGTGGCAGGGATGGAGGGCACTGCTCTGGTCTGAGTGGGGGTTCCACTGACAGTGTGCTCAGTTTGGAATTAAACAGCTGCACAATGAAATAATCCCACAATTAAACAGCTCCACAATTAAATAATCCCACGGTTAAACACCTCCACCGTGAAACACCTCCACACAGCCACAGAACAGGCACATCCCCTGGACCAACCCACGGGCTCAGAAATGCAGGAGACAGCAAAGGATGGGGAGTCAGTTCTTGATGAGGCTGGAATTGGAGTCCACCTGTTCCTCCTGGATAGGAATTCGACAGCTCCTGTCCTCTGGGAGACAGTTATAGAAATGAATATGGAATCAAAAGGAATAGGGAATAAAAATAGATGCTAAATAAAAGTACTAAATAAAAAGACAAAAAAAATTTTAAATATAAAGAAATGCTAAATAAAAATACCGAATAAAAACCCAAATAAAAAAAATTACTAAATAAAAATAAAAATAGAAAATAAATGCTAAATAAAATAAATACTAAATAAGTAATAAATAATAACTAAATAAAAATAAATCCTAAATAAATACCAAATAGAAATGAATGCTACATAAAAATAAATACTACATAAAAATAAATACTAAAAAATAAATACCAAATAAAAATAAACACTGTAGAGTGGAAGGGGCAGGAAAAGGGAAGGCAGGGACTTGTCTGGTTTTGTGGATGATCATAAAAGGAGTGACATTTGGTGCTGGAAAACACCAGTGTAGGGATCAGGGAGGACACACTTTGCCCTGGATCTGGGGATGGAACCTGAGGCAGCTCTGGGTTATTAATTCTGAATATCAAATTCGTCCCTTCTCAGTCACACCTTCCCTGTGTTTGCAGGAGACCCATCAGGACACTTCCCTTCTACCTGGGCAAAAAAAAAACAATTCCCATTTTACTCTTTAAAAAAATCCATTCTGGATCCTGCCTGTGCTGAAGAGAATTCCCTGCAGGAAAACTGGAAGGGGGGAAAAACCAGACAGAGGTTTTAAAACACTGTGACCTCCATCCCTCAGGACCAAACAGGGGCTAAAACCTCTGCAGGTGACACTTTCCACTCAGCCAGGCAGCCTTTAGAATGATTACTTATGAATTTTCCAGTAGAGGGGGCCTGATTGTTCTTTTTCCCCCGTATGTTTTTCCCTCCCTAAAAAGAAACTCACTCTGATTGTTGCTTCCACGAGGCCTCCCCTTGTTCTCTTTTCTGGCTGCTTGGATAATCAGCAGGAGAATGGATATTCCACTCACCACGAGCAGGATCAGACAGAGCAGGAGAAGGGAGAGAGAGCCTGGGAAAAAAAATCCAGAAAAATCCCTTTGATTTCCCTTCCCAGGAAAAAAATAATCAGTGGGATTTCACCCCCCAGGAAAATCACCTCCCAGGTGGGATTTCACCTCCCAGGGGAGCAGTTTGAGGTGAAAATCCCTGCTCAGTTCTTGCCAACCAAGCCCAGTCCCCTCCTTACCCCAGTTGGTGTCTGTGGGGTCGCTGGGATCGGGGCAGATGGAAGGACCTTCCCCGGCTTGGGGTGGGGTGGAGATGGTGGCAGTGGAGCTGTTATCCATGTGGGAAGTGGTGAGGAGACTCCAGGCAGGGCTTGCAGTCCCAGGGACCTCTGGCAGCGGGCCAGGACTGCCACAAACAGCATCCTGGGCCTCTGTCCCTGCTCGGAGGGTGCTTTTCCCAAGGCTGCTGCAGCTGGGAATAAAATCAGCGGGATTTTTCAGGCACTTGCTGCAATGACTTTCTAAATTATATCCACCTGAGCGACCACCACAACCCTTGTTTGGTCACCACAAGCTCGGGGTTTACCTTTCCTACAGTCCACAGATAACGTGGAGAACAACCAAGATGTGCAAGAACG